GTCCATCCATCCATCCATCCATCCATCCATCCATCCATCCATCCATCCATCCATCCATCCATCCATCCATCCATCCAAACCTTTGTGTGTATATATATATACACACACACAAGGATTCTGTAGTGTTTCTGGGGTCCTGTCATACATGTTGTGTTTGTCCTCATGTTTGCCTGTCACCCCTCAGCATTTCTCCTCCTGTGATCCAGCACTGTCACACCTGTGTCTGATCCTAATCACCGCAGGTGTCTGTCATTTCACCTTGTCAGCATCTGTATATATTCAGGTTTTATGTCTTTGTCTCTGAATTGTCCTTGTCCTAAGGCTTCATGATCTGTTTCCCCTCATGTCATCCTTTAAGCATTTTGTTTTGTTTATTTATAATAAACATTTTACTTATTTTATTGGAATTTCATCGTCTTCCTGCGCATGGGTTCCTACACGTTTTGATCAGATCATGTCAGAATCAAGGATTCAAGGTTCTTTATTGTCATTCGCACCTCATGTGGTACATGTGGTGGAACAAAATCATGTACACAGGGTCCCAGTTACATCCAACAATAAAATGTAAAAAAAGCAAAACAATAATAACATCTAAAATATGAACTAAGAGAAACATCAACTAAATATACATGAAGTACTAATAGCATAAAAACATTATGCTAACATTAGTTACTGGGAGAGATCATCTCTCTCCAGTTTTAGTTTCTCTCCATTGGCTCCCTGTCAAATCCAGAATAGAATTCAAAATCTGACAAAGCTCTCAACAACCTAGCTCCATCTTATATTACAGATCTTATTGTTCCATATTTTACTAACAGAGCACTTCACTCTCAGACTGCAGGTTTACTTGTGGTTCCTAGAGTTTCCAGAAGCAGACTGGGAGGAAGATCTTTCAGTTCTCAGGCTCCTCTCTTGTGGAACCAACTTCCAGTTTCTGTCCGTGAGGCTGACACATTGTCCAGTTTTAAAACTGGGATTAAGACTTTCCTTTTTGATAAATCCTATAGTTAGGGTCGGCTTGGGTTTCCTGAGCTGTCCCTTAGTTATGCTGCTATAGGCTTAGACTGCTGGAGGACAAACTGACCACACTTTTCACTCTACTACTGTCTTTACTTACTCTGCTCAACCTGTTTGTATTTGTGATTATTTTTTCTATCCTTAACATGGTTTTGTCTTTCAGGTACACCTGGACCTGGACCTATACCTGGACCTGGACCTATACCTGGACCTACCATTCTGTGTTCGTCTGTCTCTCCTTCCTGTCCTCTCAACCAGCCGGTCAAAGCAGATGGTCTCTTGTCCTGAGCTGGTTCTGCTGGAGGTTTCTTCCTGTTAAAGGGAGTTTTTCTTTCCACTGTCTCCACTGTGCTTGCTCAGGATGGGAGACTGCAACGAAGCCAAGATTCATCTTGTCTGCTGGATTCTTAGATAGAGAACTTTGCTAATTGTCTTTTATGTGAATGTTTCTGTAAAGTCCCTGAGACAACTTTGTTGTGATTTGTTGCTTTATAAATAAACTGAATTGAATTGAATTGAAATACGCCAAACAGCAGCACAAACATGAGTCTGTGTGAGCAGATGAGCACAAATGAACATAGCAACATGAAACAGATCAGCAGCAACATGAAACAGATCAGCAGCAACATGAAACAGATCAGCAGCAACATGAAACAGATCAGCAGCAACATGAAACAGATCAGCAGCAACATATGCTTTTTCACAGTGATTATTCTGGTTAGAGATTCATGAGTCTAACAGCCTCATGGTAGAAGCTGTTCCTCAGTCTAGTGGTTCTACACTTAATGCTCCTTAACCTCCTTCCTGAGGGGAGTGGGGCAAAAAGTGTGTGTGCTGGGTGAGTGTGGTCCTTCATGATGCAGGTGGCCCTCTTCCTGCATCTGGAGGTGTAGATGTCTGTGATGGTGGGGAGGCTGACTCCAACATCTTCTGTGCAGCCTTCACCACTCTCTGCAAAGCTTTTCTTTCTGCAGCTGTGCAGAAAGAAAAGCTATATTATATCATTATTATTATCCATCCATCCAGCCATCATCTTTTACCCGCTTCTTCCATTTTGGGTCACGGGGTCGCTGGTGCCCATGTCCAGCCATCACAGTGCGAGGGGCGGGGTACACCCTAGACGGGTCTCCAGTCCATCACAGGGACACATAGAGACAAACAACCTTTCACTCTCTCACCTAGGGACAATTTAGAGTTACCATCAGCCTAACATGCATGTTTTTGGTCTGTGGGAGGAAACTGGAGCTCCTGGAGAAAACCCACGCACGCACAGAGAGAACATGCAAACTCCACCCAGAAAGACCCCTGGACCGGGGTTTGAACCTGGGACCTGCTCACTGAGAGGCAGCAGCTCTACCAGTTGCACCACCGTGCTGCCTCACATTATTATTATATTATTATTAAAAATTAAGGTAATTATTAATATTATTATAAACTATATATGTATATATATATGTGTGTGTGTATGTATATATCATGTGCATTTTAGCTTATATTACTACATTGAAATACTTATTTCATTCAAATTCATCCTGCTGCATCATTATATTTTACCATGTTGTTTTTCAATATTTCTCTTTAGGACATTGTAAATATTATAATTACTTTTTCACATTTTGGTACTTTTTGTGTACCCTTATTGCATGATTTTAGTATTTCTTGTTTATTTGTTCTTTGATTTTTTTTTTTAGCGATTCAATCAGTTCTTCTCATCCTAAGTGTTTCATTGAACTGTTAACCCTGTGTTAACCTGCATATGACAAATAAACACAGCTTGAACTTGAGAATGCCTGCTCACAAAAACATTTCAAATCCCTTTTTTAATTAATCTGAGCTTAGAGCGAGGTAGTTTAATGTCTCTGATAACTCCGGTAACACAATGGTAGCTCATATCATCAGCAAAACCACCCATCCAGGGAAATTATGGGGCACATTTGATAAAAAGAGGTCTAAAATGTAAGATTTTTTGGACAACGCTTGTTAGGTCTGGTGAGGGTGTCAATGGGTTGGGTCAGATTAAGTGACAAGCAACATGCCTTGAATTTATCACAGTGGGCTCTGTATTTTCAAATCAACATTGAAATCTCTGGCGAGGAGGACTAATATCAGATCTTTGATGGGTTTAGGTTGAACATGCCAATTAGAAGTTATGAAAGAAACACAATAACTGTCATATTCAAGCACTTTTTTTTGTTTGTTAACATAATTCTCTGTGTCTCACCTTCTCACACAGGGGAACCAGCTCGTCCTCAAATAGATCTCTGGGTAGTTTCCCCACAAATATCTCACTGCCCCTTTCAGGTGGAGATCCATCCCAACCAGGCGGAGGTCCACCGTAACGTCGCTGACCATTCTCCTGGATAGAAAACAAGGGTGATCAGCCTAAACTGATGGAGTTCTGCTCTGGGGTCCAGAGCTCTAGTTTTGGTCTCACCTGTTTCAACTGGTATCCAGTTCTTTGGACCAGGTTCCGTAAAGCCGCTTCCTTTTGATTCCCCACCAGTCCATCCCCACTTGCTTTCTGATTGGAGTCCATTAGGTGTGATTGACAGAATGTGAATCAGGCAAATTAGGGGTGCTCACTGAAAAACAAGAACCAGCATGTTATTCTCAGATCTTTTGCTGGTTCTGGACTCTGGTTCTGAGCTAGATTATCATAATAAGTTATAACCAACCTGTTGTTTTCTGACTGCATTTCAGTGAGAATTTAATCAAATCTCCTTCTATTTAAACTGTATAAACACACAGCTTGCCCTGTTTTTCCACTTGGGTAGTTTCACTTCATTTCAAACTCAAATCCTCTACCAGAACTTTGGGATCCTGAGGGTATATTAGCTGTATATTATCTGTTCCCAGAATAGCACTCTTCTGAACAGAGGTCTCAGGTTTTTCCTTGGATATATTGGAGCCACTCTTCCCGTTTAGGGGCCACAGCACCAAGTGCTCCAATGACCACTGGGACTACTGGTGTTTTGATGCTCCACAACTTCTGTATTTTCTCTTTCAGCCCTTAGTATTTCTACAGCTGCTCCTTCTTCCTGATGTTACAGTCAATTTGTTACCACTACTATCACCACAACCTTCTTCAATAGCTTGTCGACCACCACAATGTCCCGTTGGTTTGCCATTACCTGTTGTCAGTCTGCATCTGAAAGTCCCACAGTATCTGCCACTGTTTTTTGTTTTTTGTCCGTCCAAACTGGTCTCACTTGTAAATGAGTCTTCGAGGCTCAATGTGGTTTATCTGTTTAAATAAAGGTTGAATGAATGAATGAATGAATCTTAACCCTGCAAATCAACTGGATATTCAGGATCTGGAGGGTCCCTGGCCATACTGATTCCTGGTGGCATAGACTAGCTCTAGGGATGTGGAACGTCACCTCATGGGTGGATAAGGAGACAGAGCTTGTGTGTGAGGTTGAGCGGTACCAACTAGATATAGTTGGGTTCACGCAGAGCTTGAGCTCTGTAACTGAACTCCTGGAGGGAGTCTGGACTCTCTCCTAAAGTTGCCCGAAGAGAGCAGTGTTGGGTGGGTGTGGGATACTCACAAGCCCCTGGCTGAATGCCTCTCTGTTGGAGTTTTCCCTGGTGAAGTTTCTGATTGTTCTTTGTGCTTATGCACCAAACATCAGTTCAGACTACCCATCCTTTCTTGAGTCTATGGATGGTGTCTTGGAAAAGGTGCCATTTTGGGATTCCCTTGTTCTATTGGGTGACCAATGCCCATGTGGACAATGATGGAGTTATCTGGAAGGAACATTCTCCCTGATCTAAACCTGAATGGTGTTTACGCTTCGGACTTCTGTGCTAGGTATGGGGTGTTCATGACAAACACCATGTTTGAGAATAGGGTGGTTCACAAGTGTACTTGGTATCAGGCCACCCTAGGCCAAAGGTAGATGATCAGTTTTGTAATTGGGTTGTCTGACCACACACACACTTTTTGCCCCACTCCCCTCAGGAAGGAGGTTAAGGAGCATTAAGTGGAGAACCACTAGACTGAGGAACAGCTTCTACCCTGAGGCTGTTAGACTCATGAATCTCTAACTAGAATAATCACTGTGAAAAATCACATCATGTTGCTGCTGATCTGTTTCATGTTGCTGCTGATCTGTTTCATGTTGCTGCTGATCTGTTTCATGTTGCTGCTGATCTGTTTCAATGTTGATGTGTTCATGCGTGCACATCTGCTCACAGACTCATGTTCATGTTTGTGCTGATGTTCAATGTTTTATGTTATGAGTGCTTAGTGTATATTTAGTTGATGTTTTTCTTAGTTCATATCTTAGATGTTATTACTGTTTTTCTTATACATTTTATTGTTGGATGTAACTGGGACCCTGTGAACATAATTTCGCTCCACCACATGTACCACATGAGGTGTGAATGACAATAAAGAAACTCTGACTCTGACTCTGACTGACCTGGGGTCCAATGTCATGGACACTTGGGTGAAGAGAGGGGCAGAGCTGTCAACTGATCCGGTGGCAGGGGAGGCTTATGGACAGGCCTAGTAAACCCAAACACATTGTGAGGGTGAACTGGGAATGTCTGGTGGAGCCACAGCAGAGCCACTGTTCCTCTGCATCAAAAGGAGTCAGTTGAGGTGATGCGGACATCAGATTAGGATGCCTCCTGGATGTCTTCCTTTAGAGGTTTTCTGGGCACGTCCCACTGGTAGAAGGCCCCAGATGTTGTTTTGTGTCTTCTTTGGTCTGGGATAGCCCCAGTGCCATCCAGAACAAGCTGGAAAATGTTGCTGGGGAGTGGGATGTCTGGGTTTCTCTCTTGGACCTGTTGCCTCCGCAACCCAACTAAAAATATGTGGTGGAAGATGGAGATGATTATTTATCTGAGGTTGCTTGGAGGTTGGCATCAGGTCTCAGGGTTTAACCCTTTACCAAAGTAGTGAGACATAACCACTGAATCAACCCCCATTTAAAGAAATGGAACCACCTATGTGGACAGAGTGAGCTAGTTTTATGTAGATTTCTGGGTGCCACAGATGTTGACTCACAGTAAATCTGATGGATGTGATGTCTTTGTCCTGCTGAGCCTAATGAGGTCATATCCCAAGGATTACAATTGTTTGTGTTGATACAAAAATAATGCATTAAAAAACTGGGAAAATTCAGAAGTTGACCCAGATTGAAGTTAAGAAGCTGTTAAAGTAGCAAACTATCCAAGGATCAGCTTGTCCTCACTCTGAGACATTTTGTCCTCAGATGTGCTGCTGTTTTCCTGATCTGAAGCGTGTGAATCTGAGGTCAAGGTTCTGTTTGGTAATCATTAACAAACAGCAACTGTCTGACAGAGCAGAAACCAGGCTGAAACCTCAAAATATGAATATCTAAATGTAAACACCACATCATCCTGATCTCAAACTGAGGACAGTTCCCACCCTGATACCATCAGAAATATTCTGTCTGTCTGTACCTTATTCACCATAGAGGCAACATTTTCAGGTGGAAGACTGTAAACTGAAACATCTCTGATGGACACAGAAGAAAATGTACATTTTAGACATTTTTTAGTGTTTCACCAAAGATTTTCAAATTATTTCAAGAGAAAGGAATTCAAACCTGAGTTCAGTGATCAATAAAACCTGTTAACCAATAAAATGTCAATAAGCACAACCTGATTTACTCAGAGGAACAAGAGTTGGTGGTTCCCCTTCTCAAAAAGTGGACTGAAGGACGTGGACTAAAACCAGGGCGTCATCCTCCTCAGTCTCTAAGGTCTATTCAAGGGAAATGGAGAAGAAAATCCAGTTGATGGATGAACCTCAGATCCAGGAGGAACAGTGTGGCTTTCGTCCTGGCTGAGGAACACTGGATCAGCTCTTTACCCTCACTAGAATCCTTGAGGGGTCGTAAGAGTTTGCCCATCCAGTCCACATGTGTTTTGTGGATTTGGAGAAGGCTGTCGACCGTGTTCCTCAAGGTACACAATGGGGGTGCTCCGTGAGTATGGGATTGGGGGCCTAGAACCCGTATGGCTGAATCTAGAACCTTATGGCTGAATCTAGAACCTGTGTGGCTTAATCTAGAACCTGTGTGTCTG